CCCCCCCCAAATATTTTTTTAAAAACCTGTGTGTTTGGCGTGTATTCTGGTGTGGTTTTCTCCTTCTTACTTTTCAAATATCTATCGTCTTTTGTTACCCCAAGACCCCTGTTGCTTTGGGTGCAAAATTTGTTCTTTAAGAAGAACAACTGTTTACCTCTCTTTTTATTTCACCATTTTTCTTTTCTTTTTTTGTTAGTGTTTCTTTTTCTAACTGATTTGTTTCGCGCGCTGTTATTTCTTTCATTCACCCTTTGGGTAGCATCCAATAACAAGTTTAAAAAGTAGTAGTCAGTCTCCACACCTAGGTTGCGGATGGTTGGAGGGCGCTACTGATGATATGTTCTACTTCTTTACTTTCCTTTTGTTGTATCTGTCTGTCTGTCTTAGATTTCCCCCCGTACAATATGAGCATTATTTTGTCGCTATGCTTCTCTTTACTTGAACAAAGAGACCACGCCAAAGAAAACCTCCTTGTGTGACCGGTCACTTCCTTGTTATAACTTCACTATTATTTATTTAGCGTTGCTTTCAGCTGTGCACACACAGGGCTTCAGTTTTTCTAGTCTGGCGCTGGTCAAGTGGACAGCTCGATGGTGAGGTCTTGTCCACTCGGTAGTCTAGTGGTATTACTCCCCTCGACATGTGTCTCGGCTGCTCGACACACGGGGACATGAGAGAGTTTTGTTTATGTGGCGTTTGGTGCTCGTCGAGTGTATACCTGTGTTCTTGTAGCGGACAGCAGGAGAGATAAAAGGGCGGGCTTGTTCTGCAATGATGAGATTTACATTCGCTGTCAGTTTGTGTCCGGGCCGAACGCGCACCAGCGGAAAAGATCTATAGTGTATTACGAGAGCTGGTACACTCAACCTGTACTGACCGAACTGTCGGCCGATGTTCAGGAACTTTGGAACAATCATGACTGAGAAGCTGGGACTGCTGGTATTTTAACCTTTAAAGAGGGTCCTGGTCCAAATTTGAAATTTGCCATCTCTACCTGTTGGGCCATTGCGAGAACCAAACTACCCTTGACATCTCGTACAAAGACCACGTTTCAAATGCTGAAGTACGAAAGAGAATCACCAACGCAGTGGGGCAATATGAAGATCTACTGACCACAGTGAAGAGACGGAAACTAAAATGGTATGGGCATGTCACAAGATGCACAAGACTTGCCAAAACAATCCTGCAAGGAACCGTACAAGAAAAGAGAAAGAGAGGAAGGCA